GCCATAGGGCCGTAAAGTTTTAGTATGTTCTTTGGGACCATAATATTTATGAACTTCAAAAGTTTATACAAAAAATATTTTTTCAAAAGTTAATTACGAATAAACGGCTAGGCCGATCTTTGCCCAAAACTAATCAGCACGTCCCGCAAATAAAATCTTTCGAATAGTTTTTTAATTTTTAACATTGATTCGGAATTTTTTGGTGGACGGAAAATTTTCTTTTAAATTTTTGAAATCGGCCCAGCCGTTTCTGAGGAGATTCACAGAAGGTCAAAAATCTATTCACACATACATATATTCTTTCCAAATTTGGTCTCATTCGAGAGAATATAAACTTCTCCTTCGGAAAGTTAAAAATTTGGATAACAAAAATATGAAATACATGTTGAATATATCGTGACTCAACTTTGATAATGAAATTTCAGTGTTATTACTTTTTGAACAATGATAAAATTTGATTTGCCATTTCACACAGAGTTAATGAAGGTCGACTTCTATTTATCAATAATTTTCCAAAAACCTGCTTTTTATAATGATTTGAATTATATTTAAAATTATTTTTTAAAGGGGGTCTCAAGTATTTATATAAAAACAAATATCAAGTTCATTGGCAGACAGAAGAATGAACAATAGAACCACTCAGTTTAATTTAATAAAAATTAATTTGAGTGAGTTATTCAAGTTGAAAACAAGAGTTATACAAGAAGAAAGATCGCGCGACAGCAGGACAGTTATTGAAACACTCGACCCTGAATTCAGTATACATTATTTAATTAATCAGTAATATAATTTTAAATTTTGTATTTTACAGAAATGTTTTCTTCAATTATTCAATCCTCCAAAGTAAACATTAATAAAAAAAATCGAAAATGAAAATTTTTATGTATGTTTACGTTTCAAAGGTTTTTGAACATTTTGGCATACCTTAGAAAAAATGGATGTATGTGTGTGTGTGTGCGGATACACATTCGATTCGTATTGATAAGGAGACGTGCTTATTAGTTTTTGGCAAGGGCAGGCCTAGCCGTTCCGCATCTTCGGAGTAGCTTATATTTATTATATACTAGTTGACCCGGCAAACGTTGTTTTGCTAAGTAAGGTATGTATATTCAAAACAATTTCTAGAGAATCAGAAAAATTAATACTCTTAGTGTATAAGAATGTGTTGTTTGAATGCTATATACAATTAGGTATTATAAAAGCAATAAACCCCATTAGTTTGTCAATATTTTGTCAATACAATCAAACTGGAAGTTTTATACACCTTCTATACAAAACATGGTATAATCTAATCCAAGTCTTTTTAGGTCTTTCGACTTATTGATTACGTTTCAAGTTTTTCAGATTCTTTTTGGATTTTGGATTTTGTGTACAATTGTAAATAATACTACTGAGCTTATACAAAATTTTCTAACTTCTGCGAGTAGAGATAGAAAATGAATTAAGTATTTCTTCTTTGACTTGCTTTTTTAAAAGTTTCAAGTAACATTCAATGAATTAGAATAAATTTAATAAAAAATATATGTACAAGGCACAAAGATCCAATTTCACTTGAAGCAAATATTAATTATATTTTAAAAATCAAACCAATTATATCACAACAAATAACTCATTTCAAACGAACAATTATCTGACTACGTTCAGTAAAACTGTTACATCATCATTGTAGAAATGTGCTTTTATGCTGTCTTTCAGAAATTTGTTATCTAGACCTTTTTACACTATAGGCGGAGTAACTTGAACGGCCTGGTGGCAAACAGATTTGATGTCTTATTTTAATTTTAAAGGTATTTTACAAAATAATTATATTTTTGACTAATGATAAAAAACTACCAACGGAAGAAAATACTTTTATTATGGATTTTCAAAGATTACCGTTTATTCCCCGATAGCAAAGTCATTAGAGTCAAGGTTATAGCTGGTTATACAACTTTTTCCCTTCACTTTAAAATATTACTGTTAAACAATGCTTAACTTCACTGGTTTTTGACACATCGGATAAGCCTATCAAATTGTCACAAAACAAATTGGTAAGGCTTTACCAGAAGCGCCGAAATCTCCTGCTCTGATTAATAGCATCGCAACGGAACTATTCCCTAAACACCCGCTACGGGAGAAAAAACAGTACTTGGAAAATAGCGAAACAACATCCTTCACTATCACGGAACTGCACAATACGGCGAAAAGCATCAAAACAGAAATAGTACCAGGCCCTGATGGCCTTCCAGCCTCAGTGATCAAGACTGTAGACCTAGAGTTTCCAGATATTCTCCTGAGGCGGCAAAGATTGGTCTCAATAGATAAAGGAAAGGGAACCCCTATAACACCATAGTCGTTTAAACTACTCTGCATTTTAAACATCGCCTAAAAATTGCTTGAGAAACTCACTTAAGGCAGGTTTCGCAACAACATTGACTGCGCCGGAGATTTTGCCAATAACCAACACGTCTTTCAAAGAGGACGATCGACAATCGGTGTCATTCGGAAGGTAACGGATACAGCAAGAGAAACATGGTGTGGTAATCTTAAAGCTCGAAAGGTGTATCTCCTCCTTACATTCGATGTTAAAAACACCTTTAACATTCCGAATTGGTAGAATATTCTAGGCGCCCTGGAACAAAAAATCTAGGACTGATAGTTGACTACCTTGATAAGAGAATATTGCTTGTGGAAACGACGGAAGGTTACAAAGAATACCATGTTATAGCTTGTATATCTCAAGGCTCAATTTTGAGGGTCGATTTATGGAGATCCCGTTGCCGAAGCAGGTGGAACGAGGGCTTTGCGGACGCCGTCAAACCTGCGATCATAGTGAACAGCACTGAGGAGGCAGAAATACTAGTTTGAGAGAACGCCGTTGCCATAGAGACCTGACCTGACTTGAAAAACACTACCTAAACCTTGCCAAACAAAAAACGAAGATGGTTGTCTTGACTCAACAAAAATGGTTTTCATAATCATTCACCGTAAACATAGGACAGATAACTTTGATGTCAACAAGGACTTTGCGCTATCTGGGGGCAATAAAAGATGAGAAGCTATTCTTCCGTGAACACCTCGATAGTATTCCATGCATAAAAGCCAGCAAGACGTTAGCCAACTTGTCAAGGATTATGGCCAACTGCATGGGTCTCAAATGTTTGACTTATTATCCTTTAACGTTTCAAGACTCTTCTCACAAACTCATATGTTTTTCAAATATCCTATTTCCAACAAGAATAATGTAAGAATAATGCTCAATTAAACCCACCCATAGTGCTAATGTGCTCTAATTTCAACTCAATGAAAATATCGATATTCACAATACATCAGTAAAACAATTAATCACCATCTGTATAAGATAATCTTGATATTTTGTCACGAATATGTTAATTCCATTATATATAATTTAGTTTTGTCGTTAAGAATTTTACGTTAAGAACGGCAAGAATTTTATTTTGTGTTGTGTATTTTTGTTATAATACATATTATGTTATGTATTGTTATATCATATAGTAGTGTATTTATATTATTATAAGATGTATTATTAAAATTGTATTTTTAAGTCCTCCTGGAGCTACTCTGTGAGCTATATGATAAATAAATAAAATAAATAAAATAAAATAAAATAAAATAAAATAAGTTGTTCGTAGAATACGCTTGTCGCCCAATTTAATAAAAACTTATAAATTTACAATATTTATAGAAAAAATATTGAAACGCGTAAGCGCCGCGTCGCAGTGTTACGGAAAAACATTAGAACGGAACCCAGATAAATTGTGAACAAAATTTGTACTTATTACTAAATTCTTTATAAAATATCTGATAATAATCTATAAAGTATCTGATAATTTGTTGTACATATGTCTGATGATCATTTTTGACCGCCAAATGCAATTTTTTAAACTTTTGTTATCGGATTACCGAAACCGCTAGACCTGCCTTCCCAAAAAATAAGTCAGTTGTTCATTTAGTCAATGCAAATAAAATGTATTTTGAATCATTCCACTCAGACGCTCCGTTTTTCAAAAACTGAAATACCAATTTTGGCACTTTTTGCCCCGTATCCGAAAGGAATCTGCTTTCGCCACAATCTAATCAGTACGTCCCCCCTTCAATACAAATCGAATGTTTTCTGAATTATTTAAATCGATTGATCCGTGCTCCCAGAATCGTCGACAAAAATTTGTATCCGAACACACACACACATACATCTACTTTTTATAAGGTTTGCCAAAATGTTGAAATGTACAGTATGTCAAAATCTTTGAAACGGTCAGATGTGTAAAATATTTTACTTTCGTGTTTTTGCAAATACTTTAACTTACCAAACAGAATGTTAATAATCTATTTAAAAAAATTTAAAACCATTGTTATTAATTATTGAATAATTTTCATTGATTATTGATTATTTTCATTTCACGAATGTTTAGTTGCGGTACTGACACTATCTAACGATGTTCAGTAAAAATTCCAGCTTATTCATCATTGTAAAAATGTGTTTTTTGCTGTTTTTCAAAAATTTGTAACCTGGTCCTGGTGGGGTAAAAAGGGAGAGCCGGTGAGCAAAAGAGCTCAAATGCTTTATTTTTTATTTTAAAAAGGTTTTATGAAATAATAACTATATTATATAACCAATAAAGTGTATTTCATATACTACGTAACATATTTCGGTTAAACTAAAAAAAATAAATAAACTAAATAAATATTAAGCATAAACATTATAGATGTTTATATCTCTTGCTTTGATAGATATTCTATTGCTCTTTATCTTAATCAGAATAATGATTTTTTTAAATTACAGTTAGTACAATTAAAATAAATACGACTTCTAGGTGATATACATTTTTCGTGGGCCCATTTTTGGCAAAGATTGCATTGAATCCAATCTTCGCCAGGAAGGCTGTCACTGTAGTTTTCACAACAAATTAAACAGAAATATTCTTCTTGTGAAATTATTTTCTTACTTCGGTTTATTTTTTTGTTTACTTCATTTGGTCTGTTAATCCTACGGCCTTTAATTATATTTGCCATTTCCTGTTTTTTTCTTGGATCTTCCTTTTTTGGTTTATTTTTTTGTTTACTTCATTTGGTCTGTTAATCCTACGGCCTTTAATTATATTTGCCATTTCCTGTTTTTTTCTTGGATCTTCCTTTTTTGTTGTATCTGTTAAAGTAGCAGATAGGAGACGTTTTTTCTTTGTTATTGACCTTCTAGGACCAGCCTTTGATAGTGGTATCACAGTTTCAGGTAAAAATACTTCTCGAGAATTGACTAATTGCGCATTAGCCGAAGTCGATGGTTGTTTAATTTTCTCACTTTCCATGGGACGATCTGTGACAAAACTAGATGCATAAACATCGTCATCAAATTTATATTGATTGTATGGAAATATGCCAGTTTCTTTAAATCCACTCATTATATTATTTGGTGTTAAAGCTGAAGGCAAAATAGGGCGAACAATCCCAGGGATATCATATATTGTCATTGTTTTTCCAGTATTATTTTTTATCCATGCATCTTGAGCTGGAACCAGGTATTTTTTAAAAGGCCCGTATACCGCTACGTGCAGCGGTTGCAGCTTGAGGGAATAATGTGCAGGAAAAGAAAGCATTACCACTCCATGTTTTTCAGCAAGATCTAGTGTAGGTACAGACAAGTGTGATAAATGATTGCCTAAAATCAACAGAGCTGGCGACTTTTTACTAGGCCTAACGTTCTTAATAAAATGCTGCATAAACGTAAAGAACTCATCATTATTTACACTACCGCTAGAATTTCCTGCACCTATGCAGTCAATAGGACCATCTCTAATTAAATGGTCTTTAAAATGTTCGCAAGGAAATATAAACATAGGAGGAACGTATAAACCTGTAGCTGATACCGCCACTAATAAAGTTACACTAGGGCGACGTTCAGCTGATGCTACAAAACCAACACTTTGCTTTCTTTCTGAAATTATTTTTGAAGGTTTAGCGACAGTCGATACACCAGTTTCATCAACATTCCATATGGTCGAAGCTTTGAACTTAAAACTTTTCATGACATTAGCTAATTTCGAGTAAAATTCTTGCACATTAGTTTTGTTGAACGACGTACTTCTGCTAAGTCTAGTTGCTTCAGATTTTCTGATTGAAAGACGTGTATTCCGTGTAAGGAATGCGGTCATCCAATCTTTACCTGCCATTTTATTTCGAAGCCATGCTTCTGGCATACTTATTTTGAATTTAATTGCGCAATCATAAGCCATGCGACGAACTTCTTTCGGTCCTATACCATGAAAAATTTGTGCAAGTTTGAGCAAATATTCTGTCAGACTTGCTTCTTGTTCCATATTAAAAATCTTCCTTGGAGTACCGTAGCCGAATCTTAAATTCGTAGGATCATCCTGCACTCGTTTTATAAATCTGGATAAAGAACTTTTACTTAACTCAAAAACACGACAAACCTCCCTTAATGATACATTTTCATTTAAAACTAATTGAGCAGCACGCTGCATGAAATCCACAGATTTAGTTCCTCGATTAGTTTTTCTTTTGTAATTCCTCATCCTCAATGTACCAAAAAATATTTCATAAACTGGTGGAGTATTGGTTAGAATTAAACAATAAACCGGAATCGCTAGTTTTTTAAAGATAACGGTCTTCTTTCTGCAAATAAATGAACTAAAAATAAAAAATATATAATATTACTATAATAAAAAGTGAACAATAAAGCTAATAAAAAACTTGAACCAAATTGAATCACTGAAAGTAATCAATCAATCTGAACTATTTATACTTGTTTCTATGAACTGAACGATAAAGTGAACAGGTAGTAAGCTGAAAGATATATAATAAATACAACTGACCTCAAGTCAATGCATAGGTGAAGGTTTTTTTTAAAAAAAAGAGATGGGTATACTAAATAATAAAAGAAGTAGTTTGTTGACGTATTGCAAATCGAGATGGCGACTATGTTTATAAAACCACGTGTAACTGAGGAGTTTCCATATGTAATTGATGTAGGAAAAGGTCCAATGGTCCAATGGTTTTTACCCTAATTGTATTTTATTCTTTTAGAAGGGTATATAGAAAAAAACTGTTATAGCTAGGTTAAAAATAATAATTAAATATATTATTTAATACTTTGATACTGTATTTAAGCGCTGTGAACTATACAACAATGCTTGAGAACAAAATGACGAAAATAAATAGTTTTTATTGAAATTTTGACATATTGCTGTACATCTCCTGACAGCAATTGCAAAACTGATTGCAATATCAGATTACCCATTTTATTAGCGCTCGTCATTACATGCGCTTAGTCCCGCGATACCCTGTGCCAAAATGTTCAGAAATCTTTGGAACGTATAGATATATAAAAATGTTAATTTTCGAATTTTTGCAATTACTGTAACTTACGCCCAATATCAGTGAGTTAGATAGTTAAGCGAAAAATTACTTCATAATTTCAAGGAATTACTAAAAATAATATAGTTTTCAAAACTTTTGATCTAATATTAAATTGAGATCATTAAAATCTTTTACTTATATGCCAATCGTAACTAATCCGAATCCGTCAAATGCGCCAAAACAAATGCCAATACAATGTACATAAACAAAAAACGTAAATGACATCAGATAAACAAAATAATTTTATATGCATACCAATCGTTTTTAATCTGAATTCGTAAAAAGCGCCAATGCAATGTACACAACAAAAAAAGTTGAACAGACAAAAACTAAATCATTAAAATTGAAATTCTGTAAACTAATACATTTAATTGCGTTATTTTTAATTATTTGTTTATGTCTTATATTCAAACGCCCTAAACCGATATACTAACTACATAATGCGTTCTCGAGCAAGAAGATGCCTGATGAGTGATTTCAAGAGATTGGAAAATGAGCCCCTGATTGGAATTACTGGATCACCCTGGACGGACAACATAATGCTCTGGAACGCGGTTATTTTTGGTATAGAAGACACTCGGTTCAAGGATGACATCTTTAAATTAGCCTTAGAATTTGCAGATAAATATCCGCATAAGCCACAAATCGTGAGTTTTTGTTCGCAATCCCAATGCATATGGAGATGGTCGAATATGCCTAGATATCTCTTGCAGAAAAAGTGGAGTTCCACTTATGATGTTTTATCTACCCTGACTTCAATACAAAATTTGTCGGGCGAATAAAAATGACTATTAAAGGGCTACTAAATTTTTGTTAACTATTTTATCTGTATTTATACTGTAATATATACATATTATATAAAATGCGTTAGAAGTTTTAATCAAAACAGCACATAATTGTATATTACTGTCATCATTAATTATAGTGATTTCGTCGCAATCTACTTCATTTTTACTTACATTAGTTCTGTCTTTGCAAAATAATTTATATCAGGAAAAATCATAAACTATATTGGGCTTTGCACATTTCTTTAAATACAGCTATGTGGTTTTGATAAATAAAGTGTTTGAAAGTCAATCATTGAACATTTCCTACTGGTTTTCTTAAGATGACGTTATTTTCACATGCTTTACCTAAACTGTCAAATATCAGTACTGATTAACTTACCGTAGGGTAAGTTATAGTAATCGCAAAAAATGGAAAATTTGAATATCTTTACGTTTCAAAGCCTTCTGAATATTTTAGCATTCATTATAAAAAATGGATGTATGTGTGTGTTCAAATACAAATTTTCCTCGAGGATTTGGGAAACACGGATCAACCGATTTGAACTATTCAAAAAACATTTGATTGCTATTGATAGAGACGTGCTGATTCAGTTTTGGCAAAGGCAGGTGTAGCCGTTTCAAAGATACGCGGCAATAAGTGCCAAAAATGGTAATTCAGTTTTTAAGAGAACAGAGTGTCCGATTTCAATAATCCAAAAAACACTTCAACTTGAATTGATAAAATAAAGAAAAGATAAAATCTTTGGGAAGGCACTTGCATGACTTTTGGAAATTAAATAAAAAAAGTAAAAAATATGCCATCTGGCGGTCAAAAATGAACAATTAGACACATGCACATCAAATCATCAGATGTTTTTAAGAGATTTTAATGATAAGTACAAATTTAGTTAACACTTCAATGAGTTCCGTACCAAGAAATAAACGTTAGTCTGGAACGCCGCGACTAGTTACCGCTACTATTATAAAGTAGAGAGCAAAAGGTACATAATCACCCATCACATTAGATCTGAAGTTATCACGAGATGAACGACCACTTTGTCAATATTTTACCAAAAGTAAAAGCATTTGTTGTTAGTTCTTTTAGTTTTAAGAACTGTTATTAGGTTTACGATACCTGAATGTGGTTTTTAAGATCACGTTATTAAATTGTTTTAAAAGATGTATCTTTTCAAGCTAAATTCGACAGTTTTTTTTATATATCCTCTAGAATAGCTTAATGTGGTTGTGGTAAAAAGGGCCACCTGAACCTTTACATTGAAAATGTGTAAACGATAACAAAGTAGTAAATAAAAAAGCAATATAAATTAAAAAAGTAATTTTACGAGAAATAATTTAAATGTATAGTTAATCCAACTCTAAATTCCAACTCGATAAACTCTTCTGACGAAATCCCATACAGAGGTAGTTTGCAGTATGACATTGTAAAAAGATGTGCCCATAAAACTGTATAATAAACAGAACATGTGTATTTACCTTCTTTATAATAAGTATATATAAGATATACAATGTATGTCTGTTAATTTATCATTATTTATCAATTAAGTAACTATTAGTGTGATATGTAAAAGAGTTGTGATAGTAGTTAGAGTTGATAAATAATATTATATCAAGTTTTAAAATATATATTTAGATTTTATTTTCTAGTTTTGTTATTCAACTTAATAATTAAACTAGTGGTGCATGACATCGTGCCTTCAATAGTGCGGTAAACGGAGAAGAAAAAATGGTATAACTTCTGAATTTTTTACTGTGTTCCGTTTTGCATGAAATTTTGGAATTAGGTTTATATTACCCTCAAGACCAAAAGTGGAAACAATGTGGACTCCAACACCACCCCCGGGGGATTGCGACCCCCTCATGAATAAGTGGACATTGAGCCATTTTATCGCTAGAAAACGTTTTTAATATTAAAATTAAAAAGAAGTTTTAATACATTTACTTTGCAATAAAATCATTTTGAACCCCGTAAAAACCCTTCAAACAACTTCTAAATTGAAAAAAGCACTTAAAATAAATTTTGGTATCTACATATATATAAAAATAAGTCGGGTTTTCCTTCCTGTCGATATAACTCCAGAAAGCACGAACCGATTTCGACAATTTTCCATTCGTTGGAAAGGTCTTGGGCTCCGCAAGGTTCATAGCTAAGGAAATTAGTGGTGCATGGCAGCGTGCCTTGATGCCAATTGCTGGAACTTCAAGCACCGTAATTGAAAACTCGAGTAATGACATTAGTGAGAATTATCAGAATTATGCTTGGTTAAGTCAACGAGCAATTCTTGCCGCAAAGAATAATGATTTACACGCACTGAATTTCACCATTCAATCAAAAATTGCAGGCGATTTGGTGACCTACCAATGATTCCGACTGGTCTTCCGTTTGACTTCAAACGATTGCAATTTCCAGTTCGCCTTGCGTTTGCAATAACAAGTCGCAAGGCCAATCGCTTGGAGTTTGCAGGATAAATTTCAAATAGATTATTTAGAAAATTATTGTTTTTTACATGGGTAGTTATACGTTGCCTGTTCACGAGTTGGAAAACCATCTGTTAACGTCAGACCAAAAAATAAAAAATGTGGTACCAAAGAGCACTTCAATGAAACGGATAATTTGCGGATTCACTTTCATTTACTTAGAGAAGTTGAACTAAAAAACACTTTACTTTTGTAATCTAAATAAATTCATTACTGTTGTGTAATAAAATCAAATTTTTCCTTTTCAACTATAAAACAAATAAAAAATTTCTTCATCCTTCTCACGAAACCACCTGGTGGCGAAACGGAGTTCGTCGGGTTTGCTAGTGATATAATAAGAATAACGTATAAAGTAAATAATATTTTATGTTTTCTATATTGATTATTAAATTTTTGACACTTTTTAGGCCCTTGGAAACATCCTCTTGATGAAAAATTGTTTGAAAAAGTTATTTTGAAATTGAAAGAAAATTAAGAAATTCAAAATGATATGAATGTTATTACAATTTCTCAAAAATAATTACTATATCCACAATTTGTTTAACTCTTAAAACTACCCTTGAATAAAAACAGTTAATATATTCGATTACAAATTGAAAAATTATTTAATAAAACCATAGATAATCATAATTTATTACAAACTGAAACAACATTTACTGTTCAATGTCGGAGTTGCTGTTACAATCACTATCTTCTTCTGGCTGTATTGAAGGGCTGTTCTGGCAGTTATCACCTCTACATGTTCCACAAGTTGCATTGCAGAACAGACTAAGTTTTCGGCATCCGCCTGAAGTTCCGCAACCTTTTTGCAGTTACAAAAAATCATTTTTAGTAATTCTTGTGGTGCTGGTGGATCTACACATTTGATTGGATTTATTAATCCTTCATTTATTACCCATCAATTCACCAATCAGTTAGGTGAATGTTTTTGTTGCCAAGCCATATCTGTGTTTAAAGGTAAACTCTTCTACTATGCTCATTTATGGCACGAGCGGTTTCAACCAAAGAAGCTAATTTAACAGCAGTGTTGTTTGTGGCAGCTTTCATAAAACTTTTATAGCGCATCTTTTTGAGATACTGCGATAAGTTGTTTAAACTCTATATTTGTTGTTCTTGTTACTGCAATTATTGAACTTTCATATGAATATTGTGACATAAACTACATTAATTTATTTAACGATACTTTACTATAAGAATGAATCGCCTGCCAAAATTTTGTACTATGAAAATAGATACATTTTATGATCAACATAATAATACATATACACACATATATATATATATATATATATATATATATATATGTCAGAAGTTTTGGCCATCAAATACTGCAATGTGTAAGTACATTGCTCGAAATATGGACACAATTGACCAAAATGCGATTAGTTTTCGTGTCATAATTCCTTTAATTTTGACTTCATCACAATTTGTGATATATCAGTTGAAAGGTAAATAAAACTACAACTACAAGTTTTTTTATCATAATTTTTTTCGTAACTCCTCTCAATTTGAAACGGCGAAGGATTAAAGGGCTTGAGAGAAACTCTAATTGCGCAGGCGCGCACTCTTTAAACAATCATAACTCTGTGAATTTTTGTGTGAAATAAAAATAATAAAAAACAATAATAAGCCAGAAAGAACCCATTGATTTTTATCTCTATGCTTTTATTCGTGTCTTTTATTCTTTCTGAGATATAATAAGTTCGATTTTTAAAAAAAAAATGGAAAGAAATATTTTTATTAAATCGTGAGTTTTCTGAAAATGGTTAGTACTAAAGTAGTGAATCTGCCAGAATCCATTAAGATCTATATAATAAAGTGAGTTCTGAATAAAATGTGAAGAACTTTAATTTTGGCGTTCATTAATACCATAAAATTTTAAATGGAAAAAACATCGAATATGCTTCTTATTTGCATGATAGCTCTCATTTTACACGCAAAAAACTTGTAACAGCACTCATTTTAAAGCTTGTGTTGAGCACTATAAAATCAATTTCACTGAAATTAATGTGACTATAAATCCCGGTTTGACCGGGACAGTCCCGGTTTTCCACCTTGTGTCCCGGCTTTTTCTAAAAGCATTATTTGTCCCTGATTTAGATTTCTTGTTCCGGATTGTCCCGAGTTTAATTGAACTGAATCTTCGCAATTACTTGATAATAAAATTACAACTACCAATCAAATATCTGAAAATGTTGTATAAAATTAATATGCTTATATCATCATTATAAATTATCCAAAAATATGAAAACAAACTTTTTGAGTATCTGCCATAAGTGCTAATTTGTTCAAGATAATTATGAACAAAATTGAACTGAATTTTATAAAAAGTTTAAAAGCGAAATAAACATAGATCCAAAAATATAAGATATAAACTAACGTATAAGGGAATAATGAAGTTATTACTAAACGTCAGTAATTTTAATTAAAAAAATTGTTTTGTCTAAAAAAACTGAACTTAGCATATAGCCCGAGAATTAGACAAATTAAAAATAACCCGGTTTTGACTTAAAAAAATATGGTCACCTTACTGAAATGCATAAAATTTAAAACCTCTCCGCTAGATGGCTTTAAAAACAACAATTAAATCTTGAACGAAATAATAAACGACTTTGCTCTTTCAAATCTAGAAAAAATAAAATTACACAACTAAGAAAAAGCGTCATCTCCCGGGGATGGTGGCGGAGTTCGAATTGTATTCACTTTTAAACTTGAGGGTATATAAACCTAATTCCAAAATGCAAATCGAAGCACAGTAAAAAAAATTCAGACATAAGACGCTCCATTGACTGGAGTAAAAGCAAATTGCTAAAACTTTAATTTTTTTTAGAATTTTATTAGAGATATATTTTTGAGAATTTTAAAATTATTGAAAAAAATGATCTTTTTAAAAAATTTGGAATTTTTTATACTTGGGAAAATTTTTTAATATTTGGGAAGTTTTTAACATTTTTTTTAAAGCAATCGCGATACGTTGGCTGCGTAGTTACGAAATATTGAAGCGCGTAGGCGCGGCGTACAATATAACATTTTGAATCATTCAAATCAGTTGATCCGTGTTCTTGAAATCGTCGACTAAATATTGTATGCGCACTTGCATGCATACACACATACATCAATTTTTTTAAGGTATGCCAAAATGCTGAGTAACTTCGAAAGGTAAAGATATATAAAAAAATATTATCGAATTGTTTTGCAATTACTTTAACTTACCCTAGGGAAAGTTAAAAATTAAAAATGTACTAATCGACCTTCTTTTGCTTCCTGGCTGTCCAAGCCACACTAGATGGCAAAAAACTAGTGGGGCGCATGGCATCGTGCCTTAAGTCAAATTGCTGGAACTTCCCGTACCGTAATTAAAAATTCGAGGATTATTTATTACATACTGTAAACTTAAGTGCTTTTTAAATTGGGCGACGAGAGTATTTTATAAACAACTTATGTGTACGTTTACAAAAGTTTACTTTTACAGGTTTGTGATAATTTAGATTTTTTTTGATAATTTATACATTTTTTCAAAATTTTGAATTTTTTCAGAAATTTGAAATTTTTTGGAATTATAAAAAAACGTTTTTTCTAAATATTTTGAGATATTGGAAATTTTCGAAAATATTCGATTTTTTTTTGAAATTACCGAAATATTCTCAATTTTTTGTAAGAAGTCAATTTTTTTCTAAATGCACACAGTCTACTAAAGCAAAATGTTTTTTTTGAATTAATCTAATCGGATAAACCGTTTTCTCAAAAACTGCATTACTGTTTTTACACACGTTGCGTTTCATACCTACGAATCGACAAAATTGCCTTTTGCCAAAACGCTTCGTGATCGATTACGATCCGAATGAATTTTTAATCATGCAAATCGGTTATTCCATACTGTCAAAAATGTTGAGGACATTTGTTTGAACCATATACATAAACTTCAAAATTAAAAATTTTGGTACAAAACCCCCCCAAAAAAATTACAAAAAATGTGTAATTATCTATAAGAAGTAAATCTATTAAATATCTGATAATTTGATGTACATATGTCCAATAAACCTTTTTGACCGCCAAATGACACTTTTTTAACTTATTTTTATTGAGAGTCTATAACCGCTGGACCTGCCTTCCCAAAAATTATACCAGTTGTTCATTTCTTCAATACAAGTAAAATGTTTTCTGAATTATTAAAATCGGACGCTCCGTTTTCTTAAAAACTGAGTTATCATTTTTGGCACTTTTTGCCCTGTATCTTTGGAACGGTTAGACCTGCCAATATAATTACCAACATTCAAATTGGACACTTGTTCACAGCCCTACCCTACCATAGTCTATCCAATTTACATCTATATGTGTGACAACATAATGCTGCTCTGACTAGCATCCATTCCAGGACATTAATAGCTAGCAAGTATTGTCACCAGGAACCGCATAAATACACTTCAAAACACCAAATGCCCGGAGAATTACTCATAAATGAAATATAAAATGTCAATAAATATTCAAAAATCAACACGTATTCAATCTTCTTGTAGTGTAACCAATAAAATGATAATATCAACGACTGTCATGGATTAATTGCACTTATGTTAATTCACGAATGTTTTGTTTACTCACGTTAGGTAGATTCTTGTTTCGCTTCTTTAGTCACATCGGATGACCAGGCCCCAGCGTAAGGCTCAGATCGGTTTTAAATACAGAAAGGTTTACTATTTCACTTGTTTATTTAATTATATAATATAGATTATACATCTTGTGTGTATTCACATAGTTCCTGGGTCCTAGCAGAGTTCTTCCTTGGCCGATGAGGTGTGAATATTACTCAAAACCTTTGGTGTCTCGTATTTATGCAATTCCTGTAGTGTAACGGTACTTGCTAGCTATTATATATATAATGTTCAGGGATGGATTTTAATCGGATCTGAATTTTCGAATATATATGTATATTTATATATATATATATATATATATATATATATATATATATCAAACACATGCTCAGATTATGTGGTAGAATTTAAAGTACGGTTGAATTTTCAAAGATATCTGCAAACATAAATGACATTAGACAAACAAAATAATTTTATTTACATGCCAAATGTACCAAAACAAATGCCAATATAATATGCATAACCAAAAAAATGTAAATGACATCAAACAACAACATAAATTTTACTTACATACTTAATCGTAGTTAATCCGAATCCGTCAGATGTGACAATACAATGTACATAACCAAAAAGTTTAGGTCAAAAAAATTAAATTATCTAAGTCAACACTTTCTAAATTTACAAATTTATGTGCGTTATTTTTAATTTTTTTATATATCTTTTCTACAAATACCCGAAACTGGCTCCCTAATTACAAAATGAGTTCACCAGCAAGAAGACGTCTGATGCGTGATTTCAAAAGATTGCAAAATGAGCCCCTGATTGGAATGACTGGAGCACCCTCGACGGACAATATTATGCTCTGGAACGCGGTTATTTTCGGTGTAGAAGACACTCCTTTCGAGGATGGGACCTTTAAATTAACCTTAGAATTCTCAGAAGAATATCCGCATAAACCACCAATTGTAAGATTTACTTCAAGAGTGTTCCATCCGAATGTCTATGGGGATGGTCGAATTTGCCTAGATATCTTGCAGAAAAAGTGGAGCCCCACTTATGATGTTTCATCTATCCTGACTTCAATACAAAGTTTGTTGGGCGAACCCAACCCAAATTCTCCAGCTAATTCTGTGGCTGCACAATTATACAAAGAAAATAGAAGTGAATATGAAAAACGTGTCAGGGAAAGTGTGGAACAAAGCTTTTCTGAACACGGCGATCAATATTCGCACCACATAGATTTGGATGCTGTCGATTGAACTAATAACACTCAATACTGGTATCAAAATATTTTTTTCAATTGTAAAATTTGACACATGTACATAATTATATTTTTATAAATAAATTTAATTGAAACAACATGTACAGAAACAAATTTATTTGATTTTTCATTGGGTAAGTTAATAAAATCGCAAAAAATGAAAATAATTTTAATTGATTTGAAACTTTACGTTGGAGTACTTTCTAATTTCGCGCATATGGATTATTAAAGTTTTTTTTTAATTTATTCTGCAATCTGTTTCACATGAGCATTAACATTAAGTAGAGATTGCTAACAATAAACCAGATGATAGTAGCAACACCCAGCGGCGTGTCTACTAGGTATAAGTAATAATTATCTATACTCGAAGTATTTGCTGACATTTTTATTATATGTGCAACTATACCCACGAGAAGCGATTTTCACTTGAGGCTATATTTGAGATCTATGACCTCTAGTGGAAATTTGACATCAAAGTTGCTTGATGTCAGGCTTGGCGGTAGCGGGAATCGATCCAGCGAACCTGGGACTAGTTGGTGCTAGCCCACGCTGATTATTAAAGATAATAAAGAAAAAACGATTACGTAGAATTTTTGCTTGGTTCTGGCTCAATAATAACAATAACATCTAAATACTCGGTTTTTCTCGTTTGTTTGTTTGAAAAGATTTATTTGTTCCATATTATATTACATAAAAGAAAAAATGAGTATATAAGATTTTGTATACCTATCATCTGATACTAACACAATTCATTGATAAATAACTTTTGAAACATTATTGATTGTATAAATTAAGTAAATTAAATAGATAATGAAAAAAATGACAACTAGTGGGGTGGGTGGCATCGTGCCTTAAGGCAAATTGCTGGAACTTCCCGTACCTCTTCGAAATGTTCGAGGATTACTGAATGATTTCAAATAGATTATTATAAATATTGTAACATTGTCTAATATTTATAAATATTATATAAACTGAATTGCAGAGTTGAAATTATTTGTAAAGTATATTAGAACTATAGTCAAAATTAAAATAAATATTTTCGATATACAAAAAACTAAAAAAAAAAAAAAAAAAAAAAAAATGGGACAATTTTTTTTTTACCAAAATCGATTATATTGTTAAGACAAGCAGAAAGTTCTTTGAATCATTTAAATCGGACGCTTAGTTCTCTCAAAAACTGCCATTTTTTACATATTTAGCTCCGTATCTTCAAAATGGCTGGGCCTGCCTTTGCCAAAAACTAATAAACACTTCTCCCAATCATTACTAATTGAATGTTTTTTAGATCATTCAAATCGGATACTCCGTTCTCTCAAAAATACGATTTCTATTTTCTGCACTCTTTGCTCCGTATCTCCGAAACGGCTGGACCTGCCTTTGCCAAAAACTAATCAGCTCTTTTCCCTATCAATAGGAATCGGATGTTTTTTGAACCATTCAAATCAGTTGATCCGTGCGCCCTAAAACGTGACTGGAAATTTGTATCCACACATACATACACACACACACACACACACATCCATTTTTTCTGAGGTATGCCAAAACGTTCAGAAACCTTCAAAACGTCGAGAAATGTAAAAATTTTCAATTCCGATTTTCGGCCCATTACAATAACTTACCCTACGGGAAGTTAAAAAACATATTACACTGTTGATTTTTGGAGGTGTCTTATAGTGTTAATTATTAAGAATGACTGTCGGTAGGTTGTAATTGTTATACCAAAACATATCTTGAATTATAGATCCAATATCCGTAATAGTTGGGTTATTACTATGTTTGCATTTTTCAAAAAAAATCCTTGTTTGCTTTTTAATTTCATATATAAATGCTATATTCAGTCGGTTGTGTAGGTAGCGATTGGATACATAATCATAAGTGATAGGGTTTCTCTTTATTCCGAGTATCATTCTCAATGCTTTATTTTGTATAATTTGTAATTTATTCATGTTTTGTTTATTGGTCATACACCACGCAGGAGCTCTATAAGTTAGGCTTTTCTCGTGCATGTTGTCCTTACGGAAACCGCCTTAAGGCATTACTTCATGGAGGATAAAACTAAGATGTTATTTTTACATGTGTACATTTGGTTAGTTTGAGATATTATGCAAGTGTGCACTTAGGATCTTTTAAAATATTTTGATACAGATGAAATAATAGATTACTATACAGCACTCTGCCTATTTTTCTCTAAATTTTGGTTTCTGTACAAATAAACAAGAATTTTCACTTCTTATAATATCCACATTGAAAAAGCAGCTAGGTTTAAGTAGCAGTTTATCTTGAGGCAAGTTGCAAAAATTTCCCGATAGGGATTTAGCCATTTAGCAAACTATTTTTTTTTTTTGCAAATATTTACTTCAAAAATATTGTTTTTGCTTTTACTAATACTATCGCCATTGTAATTGTAAGTTTTATTAGAAATGCAGAAATGTGGAATTAATTACAAAGAAAGAGTCCAGAAGATCCTTGCTAAAAACTAGTCAGCACAACTCCCTGAACAATTCTTTGAATGGTTTTTGAATGTTTGAAACTGGTGCGACATAGGATTTTATGTCATCATCAGTGGATTTACAGAATGAACATTGAAAAATTAATATAAACTAGGAAAAAATGACAGAAATTGGAAAAAGAACTATAGATACAAGTAACAATAACAAGTATAACTAAACAGATAGAAAGTAAGAAATATAAAAACAAACAACAGCGTAATATATAAACAGACATATATATACGAATATATTACGAAAACGTGGACAAACATGTTTGCAATTTTTTGCTTATTAGAACTAACCTACGCGAGTGATTATCAAGTTTCATCGAAAGGATTTTGAATCGTCAAAATCGATTCAGCCGTTTTTGAGAAAATGTTGACAAAACTCTCGTTCAAAGCGTTTCTTACTTTGAAAACTTTGAAGAATTTTTAAAATTAAACGATTTATCATATGACTGTAATATAATTTTTTAGTATTTTCTTTAAGACAATAAATCTATACACAAACAATCGTTTCATAAAAATCATTTATTTTAAAGAGAATTTTTTTTTTAAATTTCCAAATTTGATCTTTAACGATTCAGAGTGACTTAAAACGTCGAATTAACATAAAATTAGCAAGTCGAATTTTTCGTGAAAATAATAACTTCACTTTCGGAGATTTTAATGTACTAGTAAAATATTTAAGTTTCTTATTAACTTCCCGTAAGGTAATTCGGTAATTAATGAATTCGGTAATTCGTAAACCATTGAAGAATGATAAGATTTTTTTTATTACCTCTGTCTGAACTAGTTACTCCAAAAATTAAAAATTATAGTAGAAATAGAAGTAGAAAAGGACCTGACTTCTATAAAATGAAAACTGTATGATAAAGTTCATTGCGTTTGCCAAATGAAGGTAAAATAAGATGCCGTGAAAAAAAAAATTAAACATGAACATAAACACTGTGTCACTGTGTCAATGCAATGTACCTTTAAGATAAAAATGTTTTTATTATAAATTAAAAAGCTTTATCATACATTTTATTTATCTTCTGACTTGTACAATAATTTTTTTTATTGTTCTTATACAACGGTTGGTACAAATGTGTACCAGCAAAAAGTACGAATGTTACAACGGTTTACCAGCCTCCCCAGCTGCCCCTCTATTATTTAAAATTATTTTTTTATGATTTTCATTTTAACGTATATCACACATTAAAAATATTACACAAACCGATTTTTTAAAGAATTTTTCAAATACCGTCCCGAATTGGTTAAGGGACGATGCCATGCACTACTAGTTTTTTATTATATATAAATATATGACTTATGTACTGAACAAGATATAAAAGCTAACAAAGCCAAGTATGAAATTTCACACATAAATGAACCTAGTAGTATTTGTAAATAATCATTTCAATCAATAATTTGATTTTTACATTATTGACTATATG